ATGACCTTCGAGCAACTATTCAAGGTCACATTAATGACACCAACTTATATCCCCCTCAAAGCCATACAACTTTTGTCTGAAACATTTTTTTCTAAAATCAAAAATAAAAAAGTTATTTGGAGTGGGACATCAAAATGGGACACCCTATATTCAATGATTTGATGATGTGATTAAGAAGCTACAGAAAATAAAATTTGATAAAATCGGCAAATTATTTTTCGTCAACAAAAAATGATTATTACTATATTGCTATTATTTATTCTTATTACATTGGCGTGTAATTATGTGCATTATAGAAGAAGCGGACGACTTATCAATCTTATACCAGGACCACAAGGTCATCCGATCGTGGAAAATTTATTACAAATAAGTATGATAAATAACTCGGTGAACAAAAAAATCGTACAATGCTCAACAGAAAAGCAAATTAAAGGAAAAGATTTATTCCTTCGAAAGCTGTACATCGCATTTGTGCAATTTTTATTTTGGACCGTGGAACTTTGCAAAGTTAAGAAAAAATTTATTATTAACTATTAAAATTGTTAATTATTTAATAATTTATTATTATTAATAAATGTTAATATATATACATATATTAATAAGAATATTTATTTATTTTTAATTAATTATTGATTATTTATTAAAATTTATTATTCAATTATAATCGTTTCTTATCTGACGTTGTTTATTGGTGATACTGGTAGAAATATCATTAAAAAATGTAATAATAAGCTGACGCATTATTATGAAAGAGAGATAATCGGAAAAGTAAACCAGTTGTTAGCAGTCATATACGAGCGCTTTATAGACAATGAACTCCACTTTATAATAACACGTTCTCTTTTAATAATGAAAACTACTAATTTCTAATACTATAATATCTCTAAAATAGATAGAAATTTATAAAATTGGATCAATTAAAGACAAATTAAAAATTTTGTACTGGATTTATTACGCACATGTACGAAGCAAATGATATATATTCAGTGATTTGTGTGAATTAAAGTGTAAACAAGAAGTTAATTAAGAAAACAGAATTTGATTAAACCGGCTAATTATTTTTCGTCAACAATGATTATTACTATATTGCTATTATTTATTCTTATTATATTGACGTGTAATTATTATGTGCATTATGGAAGAAATGGACAACTTATCAATCTTATACCAGGACCACAAGGTCATCCAATTTTGGGAAATTTATTGCAAACTCTCGGTTCACGAGGTAAGCTTCTTACATTCGCGTAAATTAATGTTTGCCTTTCCACCCACGTAAGCAAATGTAATATTTGTAACATTCCATTCTGAGACATATAATTATCGATATTATTAGCGTGTAGATTACATTTAAGAATTAAGTTGAGCAATAAATTCTTTTGTAGTGATAATAATATTTTACTTCCTAAATTTAATTGAAGTTATTTGAAAAACAATAAAATACAGGTTGTCCCAAAAATATCGGGACTCCAAAATACCTCGGAAAATATAAGTTTTACAGAAAAGTTTCTGATAAAAGTTGTAGAGTTTAAAAAGTGTTTATATTTTTCGATCAATATACATATAATTATAATATTTATATATGTTTACATTTACATAAAACACATATATACATATGTATTCTTTAGAGGAAATATGGAAATTTGTGGTTGACCTTCCTAATCAGTACTATCCGATTCTCAAAGGGTGGCAATTCTTTGTTCCTCTTGTAAGCATCCGTCATCCGGATGATCTAGAGGTAATGAAATGTAAAAGATGTTCTGGTTTTATTATTATTATATTTTATTATAAATTTATTATTAATTATATAATTAAGGTATTGTTTTTATTTATTTCGCAAGAATATATGCCTATAAAAAGTCTTTTAATAATAATTGAATCTCCTAAAAAGGATTTTATAAAAATAAAAAATGTATGCCAATAAGTACATAAAAATACATAAAAGCATCTAAACGATTTTTTCTGTCCCAATTTTGATTTTTCTTGTATCTCTCATCTTATCCCTTTTTCCCTTTAAAGTGTTAATTAGAAAAAAAAATAATAGATATAATAATAGACAATAAAATAGAACGTCCAAAGTTCTTTGAAGGACAAAATCGCTTTATACGTTAGCTTGCATACATGAAGATTGAATCTGAACTAAAAAAACTGTTATATTTTGCGAAATTGACCTTGAGAGCTCAGCGATTGCACCGATTTTGTAATCGGATTTGTTTGCATCAACATTGCACTACAAAAGTGTTCTTAGATTTTTTTTATTACAGATTTAGTTTTTAAGACATTTTAACTAAAGATTAATTTAATGTGTGCATGGAATTCCAGATAAATTACTTGGTAGCACCGATATTATCTTTTAGCAGTTATATAAGCAATTACAACACTACCGCGTCATTTGATATTTGAGATATTCAAAAATCAATTAAATGATTGACTTGTATTTGAGTTATATAATGAATTATATAGTGTTATATTATATTATGATGTTAATTCAATATCTTCTGTAATTTCAGACAATATTAAGCAGTACGAAACACATCCAAAAAAGTTGGATATATGTCGTTTTACATCCTTGGTTAGGCACTGGTCTTCTCACTAGTGAAGGTAACAATTATATGATATCAAGCGACGCGGTATAGCGGTGCGACGCCAAGTATATAAAAGTCGGGTGATGACTTGTGAGAATGCGGCACTGCTATCCCTTTTACCATGAGCGCTACCGCTAGCTTTATCTCGAAGTTTCGCCTCGTCAGATTTCCGATTTTAATATTTCGGAAACGAAAATTCTAATGAAAAATCTAACGACACGCCAAGTTTTTGCTTCACTATGATCCCATTGGTCATTTTAGTCACTTTAAGCCTGTTTTATGAAACTTAAAAATATTTGGAAAGACAATGACATTAAACTTTTGCTGCATGTACTTTTGGATGGTTAAACGGTTTATTAAAAAGAAATTTTTGTTTCTATGTCTAATCAAATACTTGGCAACTTGTATGATCTCATATTGTTTTGGACAATTTTATTGTTAAA